ACTGAGGGGCCAGCTATGCCATTCCAAAACAGAAGTAAAAGCTCCTGTTCTGCTAAATTTTTAAAAAAGTACTTTTTAAAAATAAAAAAGTCTGTTGCTTAGGTTTGCCTCACCTCCCAAAAATTACTTCTGACTAAATACAATGCTTCATTTCCAAAACAAAGGGCTGCAACGAATTGACCAAATCCAAATTGTACTATTCTATAAACACAAATCCATGCCAATTTAGGTCCTGAAAGACCTCAGCACACAATTCAAATCCACAGCAATCTGAAAGCAACCAGGCCAAAGATTTATGCATTTAGATTCATGCATTTAGATTCAAAGATGTGCCAGTCACAAACTAAAAAAATACAAACAGATCAGACCTAAATTTATTCTGTAACTTCTCTTTTCTTTACAAGGCATCCCCATAACAGGATCTAGCCCCACAGTCAAAAGCACCAGTGTAAGCAGAACAGCAATTAAACTGACCAAAATGCAAGAGAAAAGTCTAACAATTGAATCTTTAAATTGGTGTGCAATCCTTTTCATCGAGCTCTGACTGAAGCGCCACTTTCAAACTTGTACCAAATCATGCATCTCACAGAAATATTGTTCAAATTGTAGCACTTGAGAAAAATGTTCAAGCATACCTAAATCCAAAGGGTTATGTGCCAAAAACCAATGGCGTTAAATTTACAACAAAAAAATGTTAACGTGAATGACACCAAGCATCACCGGAATTTAATAAAAACTTTATCAATCAGATGCAGGGTACTTACTGCAGGGTCCTATAACAAACCATGGAAGATAAACTACAGAGTCCAAAGAAACAAGGACGACCAGACAATTATAAATTCTGGCACATTAGTCACTTTTCCAGAATGTGTCGTGGAGAGGCCCTTTAATCTAAATACCAATTAGGCTCAAAGGAAGTATATAGTTGTGTAACACCCTACTAAGTATTATGAAGTAGGTTGACATCTAAGCATTGACTAGATGCTGTAGGCTTCCCAATCAAGAAAAGCAAAAAAAACATTGGGATCTTGGAGAAAAACAATAGTTTTTGCCATTTCAGACACGGCCAGAACGGTACGGTACAGTACAGTACAAAACAGTTTTTCCACAGAGTTTGTATACAATTCCCAAATTGTGTCAACTAGAACCTCAAAAAAAAATTATACAAAGCTGTTTTGCATACACTGTCCCCATCCCTCACTCAAACTCTGATGGACAGCAATGCCAGATTGTGTACACAGAGCATTTTCAGTTCCTTAATGGTGAACTATTTTATAGGTTTGTAACTGGTGGTGGTAGTGATTGGGGCAATGAAGCACATTGTATTGTTTTTGAGACAATCTACCTATCACATCAAGTATAAAACGAAGCAATGGATGACAATCCCTTAAATCACTTATCCCTGCAGCTTTCAAACTATATGGTGTTCCTTCATTTGATCACGTGCTCAAACACCCATACATCCACTTTTGATGGATCAAAAGTGAGCATAACTAATAAATACACAAAAAGGGGAAAAGATAGTTAAGAGTATGACATTTTCGGTCAAATTCATTTATCACGTCTCACTAAATGGGATTAATCTAGAGAACAAAAACCAAATAATTGTCATTCTACCTGAGCCAAACTGCATTTAACCTTAATTGAGGCTTTTGTTTCAGAACTTTGCGGGATATTTCAAGGAAAAATTCTAAGCATTGTTCAGAGGCTGGCATACGTTCTCAAACCTCAAGAAATCAACAGCCAAGTGTTATACTGAAGCTTAGGGACAAGGACAAGTATTTTCTTATTCTGATCAACTTCTTTCAAGTTTTAACCTTTTTATTCCTTATTTTGCTTTTTCTGCTTGTGTCATGTTCATTAAGATCCAGGTATAATATAACATAACCTAAGCTACACTCATGGTCGAGGAACTACTTGATGTATCCTACTCCACACTTGCGAGGAGTAAGATATTTCCTAATTGGATAATCAGGTTAGCCATTCAGGTGGTAGCATTTCATATAATACACAATTACCTTTAATTGCATGCATGACTGTTCTAGCCAACGGACATGAGAATACTGAACTTTGGCCCTAGTGGCCTGTCACAAAAGGCACTACCTGGTGCTTCAATCTGATATTTGATCAGATTGATACTTAAATTTTTGTAGTTAATTTGAAGCAGAGTAACAGTTGGGTTGCTACCACTGAACCCGGGTGATGAGAGAAGACTGTAGCATTTCGGCTGGAACATCACTAGTGATGGGTGTCGGAATGTAATAAGATGTGGGAAAATGAGGCATTTTCAACAACATCAGGCTAATCTTCATTTCGATGAATCACATGAAAACTTGCTGCTTAAGTGACATGCTGGGACCAAGGAATAGTATGCCAATGAGAATTGGTGGGCCTAGTTGAGACTTCCACATTTTATAAAAGGTATATAAAAATGACTGCAAACTCAGCTGGGACAATATATGTCCAACCTATTCCAGATAACACAATTAATGTAAGAAATTAAAAATATTATGGTTAAAATTTTAAGCAGTGAACTTTTGATCAGACTGTCTAATTCATTACTACCAGCCAGTTCAATTCAATAAAACTGGAACTTAAGAATGCCCTACAAAAACCTATTCTGCAATACTGCACGTACATTGCTTAGAGTCATACATATAGCTACACACAATTTAAGATTAATTCACCAAGTTTCAGATGGCTTTCAGAAATTTCCCACCAACTTCACTTTTTTATATTGAGACCAAAGATAGCAGATCTAATCCAAATGTTGGTCTACACAAATGGGCTACTGGAGATCTCAAAGCTGCGGGTGGCACATTACTTTCTGTAATGGTTTTTCGATTTGCAGAAGAAAACTTCACAATACTTGAAATATTTTCACTTAGTACTTTTACTAAAGCCAAGGAGTTATCCAGGTGATCCTAATGAACTAAATGAAGTTTAGTATTTCCAAAAGGAAGTTCTGACATTCAGAAGTTATGTTTATTTTACATAACCACAATCTCCAAACATGACTGTGGTCCAGCCCTTGTGTACAAGGTTGCACCAGTTATTTTTATTCCACCACAATGAGAATCATAAAATATATTTAGCTGGCTGACCTCTCAGTTGCAAACTCTGCACTCTGTGGCTATTACACAAGTCAATCTATAGAAAAGTACAGCGTACAACTAAAAAAAATTCACTCATTTGAAAGACAGCATTTGTGTAAGAAATCACAGCATCCAAAGGCCATACATATCATAACACATTTGTGATAATGGAGTGCATAATACAAAAATAAAATTACAGTTACCATCTTGGATGTATTAAATACATACAGTAAAAGCTCCTTTATAACAGTTCTGTTAACAAATGTTTGATGACCAACTAGTGTATATAATGAATTTTACCTATTCCAAACTGAAGCTCCAGTTTATTTGTTGCTTAGAAATTCATTGTTCATTTTTTTCTAACCAGTATTATATAAATAACTCATTGATCACAGATTATTTCAGGGAATGAAATTCTCTTTATAAAGGGTGTTTGAAGAAAAAGATTCTCTAAATCCAAGTTGCAACGTACTAAAATTTGAACTGTCCCAAACAAAGCTGCAAGTATGAAGGAAATTTGACCGCAAGAACCTCCTTTATGGTATGCCAGTTAAAAATCCTGGGTTTCAAGCAGTTTTGTGTGAACTACTGTCCTATGGTTCAGTGTATGCACAGAACACAGGATAGGGAAGACTTATGAAGGCTAAAATTCAGTCAAGGGTACAAGAGTAAGAGTACAGCTCTTAAGTCAAGAACCCAGATTGAAATATAGCTTTTTGCAATGAAACACCATATTTACAGGACGCAAAGTGGGAGAGACAATCACGGAATCTAACAGAATGGCTCTTTATCCAAAAGCTGTATAATGGCTCTTTTTTTGGATGATAAGAAACACCAGACATTGTCACAGGTGCACAACTGATATTTTCTAATATGATTAAGTGTACAGCTCGACAGGGAAAAAACAATCATAATTTTGTAGAATATCACTATGTCAAATCACACAATCTAAGTTGGAAATATTTGATCCCCAAATGAAAACTGAGTTCCAGCATTGCAACTAGCTAACTTGCAGACATTTTGATTTTTGTTTTTACAAATCAAGAACAGTTTTACAAAATATAGCTTACTTGCTATTCTTACGGTAGCTTCGCTGAGTCAATGACCATGAAGATGAAGTGGTAGAACATAGGACCTAGATCATCTCTTAACTGTGGCAGTTGAAAGGATACCACAAGATCTGTAGCCCAACAGCTTTTGCTTCCTCCTTCTGATGTGTTTCTAATGTTTTAGAAGCTATATTTAAGAAAGCACATTTGTCCTACTGCGCAAGAGTCCACAGTGCACACAGAGTTGGGGAATATCTTGAACCTGCCCCAGTGACCATAGAATGCATTGTGTTAGCACCAACCATGTGAAACACTACACGAACTGCGCACAGGTGTACACCATGTTTTGTAAACTGCATTCCACATGTTATATGTTCTGACCAGAAATCCTTCATAAAATTTTTAGATACGTGTAGTAGCAAATTTCATTTGCCGGTGGTCAAACGTTGATCTTTCGTGAGATGAGAGGTAGAAAAAAAAACATAATCCTGTTTTTTTCCAAGAAGAATTTTTTTTTAAATCTCTGTTGAAGCTGCTTTATAAAGTTAAGTGCAACTCAAGCTCTTTATGGCTTCCCATTGTCAATGTCAGCATTATTGCACATTTTTTTCTATGCAGCTTTAACAGACTATTAGAATTTCTTCCAGACATGTCGATCTTTTAGCAAACTACTGGCAAAGGGTTCCAACTCCATTAATCTGGCAAACTGTATGTATTGCAGTTGTATTTAGAAGTCACTTGTTGCTTGGAAACTATCGTGGGTGGTGAATGGAGTATAGGTGGGGGCAGAGGGAAAATGGACACTGCCAGCGCCAGGCTAGCAACAGGTTCAATTACTGAAAGAATTGACGCTAACCTGTTTCAGAGTCGTTGCTCTCAGAGGAGCTGGAGTCACTGCTACTGTCTGACTCAGAAGAGCTGCTGCTGCTTCTCATCCTTGAAGGACCTCCCACATCCATGCTTACGTCATGCTTCTCAGCTGCATAAAAAGAAGCATCATATAAATAAATATTGAGCATAAGCTATTCAATATATATTGTAACTAAACTTGCTTCACATAGCTCTTAATTGCAACTACCAACTGAGATCTTTGTTGATATTTATTAACATTTTGTTACTTGCTCTTGCAGCAATTCTTTCATATCGTAGCTCAAACACTAAAGGGAGGGACAGTACATGTAAAGTCTATATTTGTTTTTACATAGATTGCTAAATTGCTCACTGTGGATGCTGCAGTAACTTTCACATCCTATTAAATAATTCAGAAAACATTCAGCCACATTTGTAAGTTCACTTGCTTGTTTTTTTTTTTAAAAACACTAGATCACATTACACCCCTAGAGCACCAACTCTCAGAAATGTGGTCATAATCATGTGCATGGCATTTGAAGCCTACATTGCATCATGTTATGGTGCAGCACAAGTAACCTGTATCATACATTCTTCGGCCATAAAACTATTCCCTCAGTCTAAATGAAGCTAAAAAATTCTTAGAACGTTTGTCCCAATTAATATTCAATTCCTCAAACTTAAAACTGATTAGAAATAAAACAATAGAGACCCTATGAGAGATAGAACTATAAATAACATTCACATGTATTAAACACCTTGCATGTTAATTGCAAGATATGTAAATAACCTAAAAGGTCAAATTGTAACATGCCTTGTTGATTGTCCTCAGGTTTTCCTAATCCAGGTTAACAGTTTGATTACACATTTGGACATGAATAGCTAAGGATCTCATCCTCAAAAATCTTGCATATACAAAGCCTTTCATGATAAACAGAATATTCTAAAGCATTTTATAGCCAATTATGTACCACGTTTTAACAGTCACTGTTACAAATGTAGATTGCAGCAAGCAAGCAGCTTTGGGCACATAAAGCTCCCATTTAATCAACCTATTTTGATAATGCAGATACAAGGACAAATATTGGCCAGCGCACTGGGAAGAACCGCCCTGCTCCTCTTTGAGATCATATCATGGAATCTTTCATGTCCACTTGACGGGTCAAAACAGGCCCTCAGTTTAACTCCTCACCTGAATCCTCCAATAATTTAGCACTTAGTATTGCAGTTGAGCATCAGCCTCAAATTATGAGCTCAGGTTCTGAGTGAAACTTGAACCTGCAACCATTCAACTTGGAGGTGATTGAGCTACCAACTCATTGAGGCATGGCTGACACTTCAAAGGCCACCTAAAAGATTATTCTTAAGCAGACTCCGTTTAAAATCATGAAGTGATAATTCAGCAAACAGTTCAGTTATCTGGTGGGATTCACTAAAACATCAAGAAATGGCAGTACAATGCTCTTCAACAATTACTTAGAAAGGGGAATAAAACGCTGACCCTTACTAAAGAGCAATGAAAAATTATCGGAATGCATCCTCTTGGGTTTGGGTTGGATGACAACGAATGGAAGGAGGCTGTAGCGGTTGGGTTAAATAGCTCATTTCTATGATGAGAGCAAGAAAAAGGCAAAATTTCAAATATATATCAAGCACTGGCAACAATGAGATCATCAAGTCATCAACATGTTCAATTGGGTGGTGGCTCCTGAACATGGTCAGTTATGTCTGCCATGAATTAGAACAAAGGTTTTGGAGCCCAGTGAGCACTAAATGAGCATTCATTTTGGATGCTGATCCATAGCACTGAATGTTAAATTTAGTACTGGAGACTAAAGCAGTTAGCAATCTAATGCAACCTGGTGTGACATAAATATACAAAATGTCACTAAGGTTGATGCAGTAATTTTAGAAATTTCCCCAATCATTTAGGTGTTTAACTGATTTGTCATTGACAATTCTAGTGACCATCTAGATGGCATTAAATATAAACCACAATAAAATCAGAAGTAAATACAGGCCTCAGTCTCTCTAAGTTTCATATTCCCTATACCAAATAGAGCTTCAATATTCTTGATATTTTGTTCATATTAATGGAAGACAGCTTGCATCACCCATGCAGAAGAGTCAACAATTTAGAAGTTTAATCTCCAAAGCAGATTCACAGGTCAATCCAACAACGTTACGTGCATTCTCAGGGGTAGCAGATCAACATATTTCTCACAGGCAATCACTATTCAGCACAACAGGTAGTTTACCTTTTGTTTCTCAGAATTTGAGTGCTCTTGCAGCCAGATTGCAGGAAGTTAATATGAAGGTACCAGCAATGAGGAAGACAAATGGTACGTTGGTCCCTACTGAGGAGGTTCAATCAAGAGTCAGGAAACGTTGCTGCAATTATTTAGGACTTTGATGAAACCATGTGTGGAGTACTATATACAGTCTTCTCTTTTTCCAAGACTTTATTTGCCCTAAACGTAATGTAATGAAGGTTCATCAGCTTAATTCCTGGAACAAGGAGACCATTCTATGAGGAAAGATAGTGTCAGGTGGGCCTATATTGACTGCAGTTAAGAATAAGAGATAATCTCATTGAAATGTATAAAATTTTGAGAAGCTCAACATTAGATATTGACAGACTATGTTCCTTGGTTGGAGTCTTGAACTGGGAATCATCCATTTAGGAAAAGATAAAAGAGAAATTCCCTCAAGAGGGTACTGAGTCTTTGGGATTTGCCAAAGGACTGAGGATATTCAGTCACTGAGTATACACAAGACCAAAACTGATAACGGAATCAAGGAGTTTTGAACTGAGCTGCAAGACAGTCTTGAGAAGATCCCTGACATTATTCAATGACACGTGAGGGTCATACGGCTACTCCTGTTTCTGTTTGGTACTTAAAGGTTTCTTGCTACCAACATAAATAGATACTACCTTGCAATTTTGAGTTTGTAATTGTCAATTTCAGCAGTTTTCGAACCTCAATGTCACCTGATAATCAGGCTAGAAAGAGTCACTTATTTTCGAAGCAATGCACATTAGAAGGGGAACACTAGTGGGGTCAGAGTGCACCTCAAAGTACTATTTGCCATTAATACTAAAAATAACATTCCTATTTACAAATCAGAAAAACAATTGCAACTTAAGCAAATAAGTGATCACTCTCACCACTGTCATCTAGGCTGTGCTAAGAACAGAGAAAGTAAACAAGAGAGTTAATATGCAGGTTTACTCTGTTAATCAGATCAGGTGATAGAACTGAGGCACATATTTCCAGTGAGCATTCATGATCTAGTAACCCTGAATAGAAGAGTTCAGACAAGGACAGGAACAGGCTCAGTGCTGACCCTGCTGAGAGGGAAATAAAAGGGTCAGTATATAGCACCAGAGCTCTGAAAAGAATACAAGTCACTTGGGCAGTTACTAAGGGCTGCCCACAAGGAATAATGAATTTCAAGAGAAGCTCGAGAGAACAAAAAAGTTACTTGGAGGGAATAAGCTAACTGCAATAAAAGCAGATATCTCGATCAGAGGCCTCAAAACAAAATAAGAATGGCTAACCTGATATAGAACAATGCAACTCTGTAGAATATAAATAGCTTCCTCTCCTTTGTAGTATCCAATTATTCTAATCTTACTATAACGAAAAAACCCAATATAGAATAATGTTCACTGGTGCACGGAGAATTTCCCATTATTAAATGTGACCAATTTTGAACGTAACAACGGAGACAATTTTCATGCTTATATTGGAAAGCCGTGTCCTAGTTCTCAGGCTGCCCAATGGCTTCCGTACCAATTTCAGAAAAATGAAGTCAAGATTGTAAAACAGAACTTAATCATGAAGTATATACGGGATGGATCAGTGTCTCATGGACAATATTAAACCAATTGTATTTTTCCCAAACTATCCAACAAGTTTAAAACTTTAGTCTCCCAATAAAAGTCAACAAATTAGCAGATTTACTAATCTTAACTTCAGTACTGCTTTGGTCGGGGTCAAACTGAACTACTGGGTGAGTAAATCAGGACTGGAGTCTTACATTACTGGAGCCAATATTATACCATTAACAATATTGCATACAAGGAACATTTTCTCCAGCTGCAATCAAAATTCAGTTACCAACGGGTATTGGTCATATGCGATTTCTTCTCTTCAAAGTGTTAACAGCACAGGAAGGATAAATCACCAATAAAGCAAAAAGCGTGTTCACTCACGTATTAAGTTACAGACATTACCACAGCACTGATACAGCAATAAATTAGATAAATGCATGTAGGCTGCATTTAGGAGTTACAAGCTTGTCCTTCAACTCAGATTAGCAATGTTTCACTGTATACGAAATGTAACTTCAGCCAGGGTTTTTCAACAGGCCCAATCCCACTCAGACTGACTTAATTCATCCCTGGCTTCCTAAAAACATTTAATGAAGGCCAATGTTAGCTCTAAGAACAACATCTCTCAATAAACTACCTTACAGTTCATGTTCTTTTCTTGGTTTATTTTCAAATGATACCTGTCAATGATCAGCTCTCTCATTTAAATCCGTTATAACAAACATCCCCAAAAATCACCTCTTAGACAGTTCTTTCTGATCAAGGATGACTGACTCCACTCAGATGGGTTCAGAGATAGATGCAAGTCCAAAGCACAGCCTGCAGACTCTGCCACATGCGAGCGAGATGGTACTTGGAAGTGTCCAGATGAATTGTTTGGATATTTGTCTAGACACACTATGCCTTAACTTCACTACTGTGCATTCTCTCAATGCTTTTGCTGCCAACTTCAGTAAACCTTCATTTGTTTGTCATTTGCTTGAGAGTTTGAGTTGTAGATATTTTCTCTCTTCAGGGATCTTGAAGGACATCCCAAAAGAATTTCTGCTCTCGTGACCAAGTTAAGTATAGCAATTGTTTCAGTGACAAAAATAAGCACAATACATGTGGTCCAGCAGAGCTGGTCAAGTGAGTAAAACATGTTGAACATTTGTACTTGGGAAGACAGCACTTTTGGACCACCTTTTTTACTTCTGGGTTTGAAAGGCCTTTTGATGGTACTCAGTGCTTTGGTGAGTTGGACAACCTGCCGGCACTTCCAAAGTATACAGAAGCAATTAGATCACTGCTGCTCAGTAAAGTGCAATCATGGTTTTGAGATGCTAAACCTTAACCAGCCAAAGCTGAGCAGGCACAATGGAGGCAAAGAATTTTATCATCTGCCTTTGTCTAGAGGAGGCTCCCTAAATGTGGAAAATGGTCCACGATTTTTTAAGATCTCAAATTGATGGCAGGGAGGGCTGTGCCATGAAAGCCCGTTGGAAGGGGTTCTTCCTTTTCTAGGTGTCTAGAGAAAGGCATTTTCCATGTTTGAGGAGTCAGCAATGACCTGGAGCTGGGTTTGTGCATAAAAATGTCAAATGGAGCACACTGGAGCTCAGAGACCAAGGTTGGAGTGACTTTGGTTTTGAATGAATAATATTGTTTGCCATTTACCTCTACCTTCTGCAAACTACTCAAGTGTGAAGTGCAGTACTGCAGCAAGGAAGATAGCAAGAGATTGGTGTGGCATCACAGTTGGACTCGAGTCTTCCCTGGGGTAGGATTTGCGTTGGTTGTGGTCATGATTATGATCATGGTTTGCAAGTCACAGTGATGTGGGCAGACGATGGGCAGTAAATTTCAAGGTGGTTACAAAGATGCCTTCATGAGAAAGAAGCCATAGGCTTTGTGAAGTCAAAAAGGCCGCACATGCTGTTCTTAGAAATTTTCTTCGGCTTGCCAAACAGTTGAAATCACGCGTAGCTTGAAGGGTGGAAAGCACACTGCAACTTCAAGGAGCTCTTCAGGCACTGGGAGAAGGCAATAGAAGGATCTTTCTAATAATGTGCAGCAGGACAACTCCCCAAGTTACTGCAATGGATCTTATTTTCCTTCTGCAATTATACTCTCAATCACAGCATCCCTGAAATTCTCCTGGAACGCATTCCTCTTTCTAGATAAGGAAAGAGATTATGTAATCATGAGAAAGCAAATTCCACTGTATTTCAGAAGGTTACTACTGTTTCTATCTGCTTCAGAGGCTTTGTTGTTTTTCAACTGGCAAACAGCTTTTTGGACATCCCTGCAGATCAGGGTGGAGCCAAGGCTCAACTAGATGGGGTGCTGAGGAGTAGAACTAAGGATGCTCAAGTCAAAGATTGTTGCAGCTGAGGACTTCAAAATGTTCTCTACAGCAAACATGGATTGCTTCCCTATTCTTTACTATCTCCCTTCCATGTCTGATTCTTAGCAGGGTGGTTGCTAATTGCTCGTGCTACAGATCTTGAGACTCTAAACAAAACACATTAGATGTTGCCTATCTCTCATGCTTTTTCTAACCACTATTTGTTCTTTCGTGAGTTTTATACAATGTTGTTGCCTTACAATGACAATGACACTGCTATTTTCTGAAGTGTGAAGTTTCCAGTCTAACTTAATGGCCATTGTTTGCTTTTATCAAATCGGTCATATTTCCTGAAAGAAAATGCCATAACTCTTCACAGGTTCTGGATATGGAATTGCTTTCCCTAGAACAAAGAAGAACTCAACATTTGTTTTAATGCATTTTCTGACAATGAGCAGACTTTCCCCAGTGGTTCTTCCACAAACAACGAGCAAATGTTTTCCCATCACAAAGTCATCATTCTAACAGCTCAAGACTTCACAGCAAGTTTGCTGCTCAATGTAAAGGCGTACAAGTTGCGAGGCTGATTTATTGCTCTGTTGTAATGGAGTGGCCGAAGTGATTAGCAGGGTTGCCCCGATGTATCTTAAGCTGTTGTCAAAGACGTTATTACAATGTCACTGACATGTAGCCCTGAAACTTAGAGGCACTTGCAAATAACTGACCCACTAGTTTCCAAGTGGATCCTATACATTGGATAACTATTTCATACTAGCATCTTACAGATACTGCCAGGTTAACAGCTAAAAACATTATATTCCAAACCCAAGACAGCTGTCAGTAACACTATCAGGAACTCACTCAACCTTCATGAAAGGATATTACTCCCAAGATAATCTATATTTATATAGACTGCCTTTATTGCAATCATTTTGAAGAAACATTATAAATACAATTTTAAACCAAGCTACACAAGGAGACAGTAAGTCAAAAATCTAAAGTTTAGTCAAAAAGTAGTTTTTAAAAGGGATGCCTTTTCAGGAGTGCCCTAACAGTAGTAAAGCAAGATAGAGAGGACAATCCAAAGCATGGAGCCTCGTTACCGTGGTCAATGATGGAGGTTAAAAATGTGTTGTTCAAGAGACGCCAATGCAGGTCAGTAAGCAAAAAACTGATTGGTAAGCAGAACTTGGTGCAAGTAATAGTCAATTTAGATGGCTTCACGTTTACAGAAGAGAAAGCCAGGAGTGCATAGGAAGTCAAGTCCGCAATTAGGCAGATGAGTTGAAACATACAAGATTGGGCAGTGTTATAGAAATGGTGAAAAAACAAAACACTTCAGTAATCAGGTAGCGGTGTCTAAAGTAATAAAAGTGCCAGAAGCAGGTAGGTCAACTGTCAGTGCAAGACAATTATCTCAATGCCTATGAACTTGGATGGAATGCAAAGGAGGAGAAGAATAAAGTGGAAGTCAGCTCAGGTCTCAGATCAGCACCGTTCACATTTTACCAGCGTGGAACGCAAAGAAAGGGGCAAATTAAGCTTCAGATCGCGTAGGTTCAATCATTTACAAGTAGGAATAGTGTCGGAACCTGCCAGTGGCCTCAGGATAAATGAGGAGAGATTATTAAAACACAGAAGCAACCTTGATGTTCAAGAAACTCAAATTGCACAACACCCCATGCTCCCAATTTTATTTCCAAAATGCCACAAAATTACTTGTAACTTTGCAACATGCAAGGCTACTAGATAAGCTGCAGTTACCTAGGAAACCAGTCGTGCAATCTCACCAGTTCTACACGAGAGACCCTGCAACACATGGCATATGTGGAATGCCTCAAACAGGCTTTAACTGGACTGCCCTATCTACAGTCAAGATAAACCTCAACCTTCAAAACGACTCCCAAGTTAGTGAGTGACTCCGTATTGTAACGATAACTGAGAACAATGAAAACAGTCAAGTTTCATCAGTTTATGACGGGCCACCTGCAGGGAGTAAAAGTTAAGAGTGGAGGATGAAAACAGGACAAGATAAAATGCACCACAATTCACTGTTAAGTTTCACTGCAGAACTCAGAGCAATGTCGAGCTCATAGAAGTCTGTAAATATTTTGGCATGGAGAACTGGAGCAGCGGTTGCATCACAAAACTTGAATCATTCACACGTTTAAAGGCTTACAATGAGAAATGCAGTCTTTCAACAACCATTGGTAAAAATAAATGATTATGGCCTATGGAGGCTGTGCATAAAACAATGTTTTATTAACTCTCCAAAACCCCTAAGTTGTCATATACAAAGAGCACTTGAATAGTGTAAATGCTTCTCAAGTTCAAAAGCTGCAAGCATAATTTAGATACTGGGTTCAATTCTTTTTCCCCCTGGGATGGGAGAAAGTGAGAGGGATAGATTTTTATTTCAAACGTTATCTTGTCAGATTGTTGAGACTGGGATATAACATCTTTTACTATCAAATTCTCCAATCATTTGCAGTCTTCTCACAAAAATCTTGCAATCAGAAAAAAGGCAACTTTAATCCCAAACCTGTTTGGACTCAACCCAATTTGTTAAAACAACAAATTAGTGAATATTAGTGAATCATTAATATTACACTTTAATGTGAAATATTCAGAAACATATTGGTGAATTAGCAGAGACTGCCATTTCAATTAATGGTTTGTTTCAGGGCCTACATTTTAACTTACAGGAATGATTTCGTTTGTAAACAGATTTTCCCATTTTAATGCAGAATTTTCATTATGCAGAGACATGGGTTCATTCAGACAACTCCATTCATAGTTTGATTTCCGGAAATCAAACTATCTCAACTCTTGCCTATAACTAAATTATTGAATAAAAATGTGTTACATGACCAGTGGTGCATAATCCAAGTTAAACATTTATTTATAATCGTTTCAGCCCGGTAAATAAAGTTTATTAGATTTATCATCATACCTCTCAACTGTTACTGATTTAAAATCACCGCTTCCCAACATGAAACTGCACCATTGAGGAAAGTAGCAGAGTGCAACCAAGTAAAATCAACCAACTTGCTGATCCTACAGAAAGTCACACTGCTTCATCAAACATAAGCCTGAATTCCAACATAAATATTTTGCAGTTTGAGAGGTATGTGCACTATAAAGATAAAATCAAGGTTATTACATTAAATGTACAAACTGATTTTATCCTCAGCCCCAGCCTATTTCACCTAAGGATCTACTTCACAAGGTTGCACTACACCAACCTTTTCTGCCTGGTTTCTTCCCAGAGCTCAGCTGGCCGCTAACGTCATGTAACCTGGTATCCAGCTCACTCTTCGAGTCTAGCTGGAGGTCATCGTTCGATTTCCCTGGGACTTTTTTCACTGCAAACAGCATCACACAACAAGATTTGGACCAAACACTTTGGTACCGGTACACAGGTACAACACAGTGAATAAAATTACTCTAGTTTGGCACGTGGGATCAGATGCAAGGTTTCTGCAAATTCAAAAAGAAAAGAAAGCAGCTGTAGGAAAACAAAAAAAAAACCATTCATAATTTGTGACTGCTCTTGAAGGCCATTAATCTGAAGTGATTTCAGCAATTATTGGGAAGCATAAAGATTCTGCAATAGGGAGGTCATGGCCAATTTTAAAGGCAGATTAAAATCACTAAGAAAAACTAGAGATGTAACAAAGCATAGGGTTTAATTCATCATGACATTGAGCTCAGTTGTGCTGCTTTAATGAACTGCATAGGGAAAACCAGACCAGAGGCTAGTTTAATCCCTGGTTGCTGCTGCCAAGTTAGTTAAGGGCAACAACCTCAAAAGGTGACTATAGCCAGCACAGGAATTTCTCAGGAATTCTGGGGGGAAAGGAAACCCACTTTTTAAATAAAAAGCCTTTAATCAAGTAAATCATTTCAATTTATTGACTCTTCTCCCATAACCTGTGACAAGCTGCACCAAAGCCTCCACAGCCATCAGAAACAAGGTGCCACGAGGGCAAACAATTTCCATGCTCTCCGAGGAAGTATTCACTATTTCCCCACAGCGACACGGTCGGCATTATGGATTCAGTGGAATGAGTTATACAAGCCCCTCCAAGTGGCGTGACAGAATTTGTGATTCAGTACACCACCTGGCGCTTTGTTGGGCATTGCCTAAAGGGGAAGGAAAACGATCACAAATATCTTCACACAGAGATAGTTTTTGCACAAACACAAGTTTAATATTAAATCATGATATCACTACTCTGCAATTAGCAAATTTTGCAAAGTTACAATAAAAAAAAAATCAGTTTCACATGTAAAGATAGATCAAGTTCAAGATTAAAAAGGAAACAATGTACCTCTGAAAACCAGCTGTTGCTTTGACTCTTACTTTAAGAAGCCCCAGTGACATCATCACTCCACCCACGTGCCCATACACAGGTCAAACAATGACATAATAGAGCCAATCATTTATTGATGATCTTAAATGATCACATGCCCAATGTAAGAATTGTGATTTTTTTCTAAACAAAGACCGGAAATTTCAATTCATTTCCTAATAAGGTAAGAGAATCACATACAACATATACAGTGAAGAAAAAGTTACAGAAGACCAGATTACCCAAATCACATCGGATTTGAAACAATAGAACCCATTCAGGTAGACAGCAATAAAAGACATTTTGTGTCAAACATATACACTGCCTGAAAGCCATTACTTTTGCACTCAACTCTGCATTTTTATTGAGAGTCAATTAATGGTCTGGCTCATTTTTAAGTACTCAAAAAAATTTCAAATTCTCAAGAACGTATTTTCCTTCTAAAAACTCGAGGTAACATTTCCTCAAGTGACGAACAGCAAATCCTTCTCCCAATGGGTATTATTAATTGCCTTTCTAACAAAGAACACAATTATATTCTGGAATCACAAGAACCAAGTATTGTGTTGAATCTTATGGAGCATTTATAGGTTGTCTTCAAGGAAAGATACGTGGCCTGGGCAGAAACCCCAAACCACAACCACAGATAGACTCAGATGTTCAATAATGTTCAGCGGCACAGATCATGTGAATTCCAAGTCCAATCTCTCAGCCTCCGTCAGATCATTAGCATGGAAGACGACAAATTAACAAGCAGCTGGTTAGAGTTGCTCCATTTTTTCTCCATAGGGAATTTTTTTTTAAATACTTGTCATATGGGAGGTACATTTCATTTGGAACAATGAAAACATCCAAAAATCAGAGCCAGAATGGAGTTGTCCAAGGCTGATCCACAAGAATTTTCTCTTTTCTTATTTCTCATTAAATATGTAGTTTCTTCATTTGCAATTATTCAAATAGTGACTTTGCATTGTACAATAGCAAAGATGTAATATGGCATGACAGATTCAAAGAGAATGGGGGAGAAAAGCGAACGAAAAAGGTTGAGCATTTTATGCAGTTTACTTTAGTTCAAAAAGAATGGGGTAATTTTGAAAGCAGTCATCTCAGGCCCAAAACTGCAAGAGTTGTTCTCTCACTGTTCACATGATTAACACTGACCAAGTGCCATGTACATGACTACGACTGGCGGGTATTCCTGCCATGACAAAATATTTGGCTTGGAGTACCACTTTATTGATCTGGTTAACAGGTAACAGAAGCCAGTTTAATGACAATGGATTTGGGTAAAGGGATTAATTAAAGTAGGTGCTTTCCCCTCAAATATAATTATAGTCATATTCTATGCACTTACAACTAACCATTACAAATAGGAATCATGCAGTCAGCCCAGCTGCACAGTGGCAAATTATGTTGGTCATGTGGGGAAATAAAGTTTGCAGCTCCACCCACAGACATTACAGCTGATACAACCCAAGTAGGCAAGGGAAGGAGGAATAAAATGAATCATGTAATATACGAGTGCCCAACTCAAACACTGGAACAAAAAGACCCAAGAGCAGGACTGAGATTGATAGATATTTTGGACATAGATGTCAAAAAGATATGGGAATAGGACTGGAAAACTGAGTTGACCCAGATCAATCATGAACTTGCTGAATGGGACAGAACACTCGAGTGACAGGATGACCTAACCTGCAATTTTTTTTAATCTTATGTCTATTAGTCATAAAACAATGGGTCAAAGAGAAAGATTGGGAGCCACATGGAATTAACTTCACAATCAAGAATTTAGGTTTCACTTACCTTGAACAGATGAAATTAAAACCTCACATCTTGGCTCAAGTTAAAAATTGTTTTTTTTAAAAACATTTAGTGGACAGGGGCCCAAGAGAACAAATTTTCATATAAAATAGGAATCTCAGACAACACAGCTCTTACGTAAACCAGGAGGAGTGAACTTTGGAATTTCCAATAATGTGTGCTGGGTGAGTGGCTCCCAAAATTTCTCCAAGAACTTGCCAAGCAGCTGAAATAAATATAGGCCCAATTTAGCAGGGAACCAAGTGAAAGACTATTCCCTATAAACTAATGCAACAACACTTAAGACTCTGTAACAGGATGGAATGAACTCATTACAAAAATTCTTGAAATGAAGTTTACAGCAGACAGTACAGAGAAACAGCCTCATAACTTAAATGGGTAGAAATCAGTCCTTTCTCAAAATTCCTGAATCGATGAGTCTGCAGTGATATATGTTCAGCAAACACGAAGAAGCTGGTCAGTGACTCTTGGATGTTAATTCTGATTCTCAGAATGCAATCAAAAGGAGTAACTTGAAATGTTTTACAGACATTGCGGTTTATTTAATAAACACATTTACTGACTGACCCCAAGTGTACGCAGAGTGAGACAGAGCAAAATTCATCAGCAGCTTCGGACTTCCAAGAAAAATAAAATACAGATACTGGTTTGGCTCCGTTTGTTTCTCACCCTCAACAGGACTATGTTTAGACTGCAGGACAATAAACTGGGAGATTCAGATCTGACTGCAAGGGTGGTACAGACAAAAAAAAAACCACTCATAACATTTCAGCATTTAGATCCACACTGGTGATGCCAAGGTACTCAAGGCTATTGGCCAAGTGCTGGCAAAAAGGATTAAAATAGTTAGACGTTTGTTTTTGAGATAGTAGGAACTGCAGATGCGGGAGAATCTGAGATAACAAG